GTCTCAAAACAAACAGATAAATAAATAGATAAAACGTGGAGGACAGCTGAAATAAAAAGATTTTAAAAGAGAAGCAGACACCCAGAGCTGTGAACCAAATTGAACTCCTGGAAACCAGTTGCAAAGAGGAGTGATGACCAAAGAAATCAAGATCAGGCTGGCAAAACCCACAGAGGCAGCTGACCTAAACAAGGGGGAACACAGGGACCCCAGACTGATGACTGAGGGGCCAGCATAGGACTGACCCAGACACCCTCCCACCGAACCTGTATGACAGAGAGGAGGCCTTGGCAATCTGTGGGACCTGGGAGAGTGGAGCAGTATTTATTCCTAGCAACAGAAGGACTGTGCGAACCCATACCACGTGGAGAGATGCTCTCTCAGCCTGGACACATGGGGAAGAACCTAGGCCCTTCCCGGGATGATGTGACAGACTCTGAAAATCCCTCATAGAACCCGTTGCCCTCCCTGGGGAGCAGAGGGGGGAAGTAGTGGGGGTGAGAGGTTGGGAGGATTAGTGGTGGGACAGGAGGGGAGGGAGAGGGAACTGAGGGTGACATGTGTAAAATGTTAAATAAAAAATATGGAAAAAAGAGATAGAGACTGGCTATTTTAAAGAGACTGAATTCTTAAGTGTTTGAGTTTTTAAAGACCACAATACTTTTAAATTTTAGAAAATTTTATTGTAATGCTGATATTAATGTGTGTTCTTGGGGAAGAACAATAAAGGAAATGTTATGGCTTAATAAAAATAAAATAAAATATAGTTTCATATATGTCAGAAGGTCTGACCTTCCTGGGAGAGGTGAGAAACTCCCTGGCTATTTTCTTTGTGTCCTGTCACTCAGTAACTGAAGTACTGATTCTGAGACTCCATCAATTAGACCCCTCCCAGTCAGAGATTCTTGTCTTCACTACGTACTTCATCTAACACTTATTTGATATGACTGTGCTTCTTTTTCTGAACAGCAGGATTTTAGTTAGCATTATAGAGATGTAGATTTAGGCAGAATTTTGCAGACCCCTGTCCTTTATCCATCATTATTTCATTAATGAAACCTTATTGGTAGAACATGGAACCCAGTGCCCACTTCTCAGCTAGTTGCCTTTGGGACCAGGGACTCCCTTATATATGTTGTAATAAGAAGTTTCTATTAATTTCCTTTGTGGTTGTGGGACAAAATGCCTCACAAAAGCAACTTTAAAAGGGGTTTATTTTGTCATTTGGTTTGAGATTGCTGTCAGTCATGGTGAGGAACGTGTATTGGTGGAATTGTAGGGGAGCAGATCACATTGTGTCAGTAGTCAGGAAGCAGAAAGAGACGAATGTTGCTGCTGAGTTTACTTTCTATATTTTGTTTTCTTCTATTTTACTGAGACCAAAGCTCTTTGAATGGTGTTTCCCACATTCTGGTGGGGTCTTCTGTATTCATATACACTTCTCAGGAAACACTCTCATAGGTGCATAGAGTGTCTCCACAGTGATTTTTAAATATGTACATCAAGGTGACAATGACGATTAACCACAAGGTTAGTTACTAACAAGTCTTTTTTTTTTAACAGAACTAAAATCAGTCTGTTCAGGGCCAACTACTGTAGGGAGGGATCTCTCTAGGCACCTGTGGCGCTAACCATGTCCACTTGGGCATGGTCACAGGTACATAAGTGGGGTGTGAGATAAAGACCTGGGGAGAGGAAGCTGTCTTTCTCTTGGGGATCTGGTGAGGTCTGGGAGAGAGTTGAGACTGCATGCACGGAGCACTGATCCTGGGATACTGGTTTCTAATGTAAGCGATTTTCTCTTCAACATAATTAACTTACTTTATCCCAGTCCCATGTATTGTAATTTGTGCAGCAACAAAATACAAATGGGATGTTAGGTTGTTTACCTAGTTCTTCTTTAAACTCCCAATTGATCAATGTTAGAGTTCTGTTTTAACTTCTTGTCATGATAAAATTCACTGACTGAAACAAGGGGGAAGTAGGCTTATTTTAGCTAATGTCAAAGTTAAACTCCATCATGATCTGAGAGTAAAGACAGCATGGGCTAAAAAACTGATCACATCACAGTCAGTTAGGAAAAAGGAACAAGTAACTTACATCAAACCAATTGTTCTCTCCAGCTTCAGCCTCTGTGACTATTTCATTGTGATAGACTATGACATGTGACTGTGAATCTATATATGGCTTTCCCCCCCTTTAATTACTTTTGTCATGAGTTTTATCATAGCAAAAAGGAAAGAAACTAAGATAAAGTCAGTACCAGGAAATAGAACCATTGATGTAATAAACCTGACCATGTGGTTCTTAAGCATTTGGAACTGGCTTCTTGGAAGAATGTTGAAGATTTGCAAAGATTAGGCCAGAAAAGCCCTTGAATGCTAAGAGCAGAGTTTAGTGGGCTGTTCTGGTGGGAACTTGAAAGACAACAATGTTGAGAGAAATGCAGTAGGGGACAGTAATTTTATCAGAAATTGAGCAATTGAATATTCATATGATTTTTTCCAATGTTTCAAGTATCTAGGTGAAGTTGAATTTACAAATAATAAAGTAAATTTTTGACAGTGCAAATATCAAGACATGCTGATATCCAGGCTAGTACAGTAGAAGCAGTTGTAATTAATAAGTAAGAACTTATTTGTCGGGGTCCAGCCTGTATCAGTCCTATGCTGCAGGGGCATTTATTCTGAACTGATATATTTGGGGCTGTGTTCAGAACCAGTCAAATAGCCTCTGGTCTGGCCCTGAGCTCCAGAGTGTGAATCAGGGAAGTCCTAGCTGCCCAGCCACGTTAAGAAGGAGACAGAGACATCTTGTCATTTCAGGAAGGTTCTCAATCAATACTAGACTCCACAATTTATTCAAACATCTTCTTAGATAGCTTTCCTAAAGCAGGGGTACTGGCAGAAAACATCTATTATTATGTATAGAGGGCTGACTAGGAAACACTTCCTTTAACCCTAGAGATAGTCCTAGAATGCAAGTACCCAAGCCCTCAGACATTCCATAACTGCACAGCATATCTCACCAGTCTTAAGACACATCCCACTAGTCCCCAGGCAAGTCCCACTAGCCCTCATGATGGTCCTAGGGCTTAGATCTATTGTTACACAAACTAGAAGCCATTCTCCATTGTGGCCAGGCCATCCAAAGGTAACCAGCTGACAACTAAAAGACAGTAGGAGATTCAAGCTCCTGAAATTGAGCTGAGGCCTATATCTGAAATATCACATTTGGGCCTTACCTTATTACAAAAGGAAAACCCCTATTTCCTAGTGAGAGAAGGGGAAAGGATACTGAGGGTTGGGCTCCACTCCTTTGGGGACCTCATCTTGTGTAATTCCAAATTCATCTAAAGAGAGAAATCTTAAACTGAGGAGACTAACTAATTCTTTGAGGAACTGTTTAGGAAGGTATTTCCTGTGATCAACATATCAAATCTGATGTAGCTTTGATCTGAGAGTGGAAGTAGAGACACCCCAGCTGATCTCAGGGCTTTGCAGCATGGCACATACGGAAATGATTTTGGAAGGATGAAAGATACGGTACTGAGGCAGTGATAGAGCACAGCTGAGGCTAGGCAATGTATGATGCAGTTGGATTCCCTTACAGAGAACCTGTCTGAGAGGCCAAGGTTATGTTGAGAAGGCAATTCAACTTGAAGTTGAATTCCCAGGATACTAGAGCTAAGTTCTATAGTTTAGTCGAGATATCTACCAAGGAGTGCTATGGCAATGGAGTGAATTGGTCCTAGGAGAAATCTTGTGCAGAAGATGGCAGAGATGGAGGAGTGAAGGTACTAGAGCCATGCAGAGCTCAGGTCATTGCATTATGGAGTCCACATGTAATTATTGAGCTAATGGATTTGATGTTTCCCTGGTATCTTTAGGCCTCTACTTTGGTATGATTGTGTCTTGCTATGCCCCAAGTCTCTTTTTAAAATAAGAATATTTACTCTGTAGCATTGTATGTTTCAACTACATTTGTTTTTAGTTTAAAAGTACTCACAGTTATGAGATTCAGGATTTTGAAGTTGTGAAAAACTTGAAGGCGGGAAGATTTTTAAGATTTTTGTGGACAGACAATGACAATAAGGCATATATTTGGATAATCTTGTATTGCATATACTGAAGACTTTCAGGTTAGAAGGGTACTTCTCCCACTGACTGGACAAGACTGGAACCAATGAGGACAAAATATTCCTTCTTTATCATTATGAGAATCTATAGTAGTATACATGTAAAATTGTTGTATAATAGTAAGGTGTGTTACAACTGTTTATGCTGTGGAACATTGGTTTAATGATTCAAAGATGTGTTGCATTCTTTATATTGTATTTGTTTAACTCTGTGAAGCTTTGTTAGTTTGCCTGTCTACAACATCTGATTGGTTTAATAAAGAGTGAACAGCCAATAGCAAGACAGGAGAAAGAACAGGTTGGGCTTGGCAGGCAGAAAGAATAATAGGAGAAACTGGGAAGAGAAAATAGCAGAATGAAAAAAGGAGGAGAGGGGATACAAGGTGCCAGTCACCCAGTCACACAGCCATTCATGGAATAAGAAGGAAAGAAAAGATAAAGAAATAGAGATAGGTAATAGCCCAGAGGCAAAAGGTAGACAGGATAATTTACATTAAGAAAAGCTGTCTAGAAATAAGCCAAGCTAAAGCCATGCATTTTTAAGTAATAATAAATCTTTGTGTGTAATTATTTGGGAGCTATGTAGTGGGCCCCACAAAGATGCAAAATAGTAAGAATAAAAAAAAAAGCCAAACCACATAAAGCCTCATTAATGAATAAACTTCTCTCTTTTTCACTGCGAGACACAAACCAGAGATTAATGCTTTTATGTTCATAAAAATGCTGAGTCTTTTTTCATATAAAATTTCTACTCATTTAGGAAAATCTAGCTTTAAACTAAGCACTATAAATTATGGTATACTAATTCAAGAGAGCTTGAATTTTTTATTTTAATATTTATTCATCAAATGATCATCGACCACAAACGAACAGGTATTATACCCAAATGAGCAGAAAATGAAGAGCTAAATTTCTATCTCCATCTTACTGGTCCATCAAACTAAATATAACTACTACTGTATTTTGGTGGGGAGTTCATCCATAGAGCACTAGCACACTTATGGTAGTATGAATTCAAGTGTGTATACCACACACATACCGATGCTTCTTCCAGCTGGCTTTCACCAGTGTTCTCATGTCTTGGATTCAGCCCGAAGAAAGGGGATAGTAAAAGGACCCTCTTTATTTGATAGTTGTCTTGGAGTTCATGCCTAGAATCTTGATGGAAGATGTCATCTTCAGCACAGGTGAGTTCTCTGAGAAGTTTCTTTCTACTTCATCTAATGTTTGTTTACACAGTATGTGTCTCAAGCCATGAGGAACAAAGCTGTTACCTGCAGATAAAATGCCACATGAACAAGTTGACAAAGGTAGGAAACATATGGTGAAGTTGGTACATGTTGCTAAATGTAAATACCACTTGAAATGATCTTTTTAATTACTGCACAGTTGGCTGTGAGAATGTAAAACTGAAATATCTAATTATTCTATTAAAAACACAGTCAAAGGCAAAGACACAAAGCAGGCATGTGTTTATATTTTATGCATATATACATACATAAATATCTACATATATATATGTGTGTGTGTGAGTAGGATTGATAAAGATTTAAAACTTTTTGCTATTTCAAGTAAAACTTACCTTTGGCTGAGAGTTACAATTTTCAATTAACTGTTTCATTATAACAATAAGTACCACACAGTTTATTTTTTCAAGACAAATAAGCAAATTTAATGTTTAATTTCCTCTTTCTTGATATGGGTTTGTCATCATATCTTTCTTTAATGGTTGAGAGCAAACTAGCTAGGCTATGTCATAAATGCTGAACATAGAGGAGGGAATAGGATACCCAAGATTTTTAATCATTAGCATAAACATATTCTTTAACTGACTAATTGGATGTCCTATACACCACAGGCTCTATTTTTTTCCTCAAGCCACTGACATTGAAGATGCTGGATCAAAGGCATGTTTGCTCTTTTCATTGCTTTTTAGAAGTCTCTCTTACACCTGTTTGGCTATTTAGAATCCTAAGTCAGTGGGATGAGAGTTTAGAAGAAATAGTCAAAAGTATTTGTCTTAGTTGCTTTTCAGTATCTGTGACAAAATCATAACCATAGCAATTTACAAAATAAAGCATTTAATTTGGAGCTTACTATTTGAGAGGCTTAGAATCCATGACCAGCTTGGCAGGGAACAAAGTAGTAGGAAGGACAGCATATTACTATAACAGTAGCCGAGTGCTTACATCTGATCTACAGACATGAGGCAGAGAGAAAGAGAGTAAACTGGTAAAGGTGTGGGTATTTAAAACCTCAACCCCTGCTTCCAGGGATATGCCTCCTATTACAATGCCATACATCCCCATCCTTCCTAAACAGCTCAACAAACTCTGGACCAAACATTCAAGCATATGAGCCCATGGGGGCCATCCTTATTCAAATGCCACAGTAATCCTGCTGAAATTTCCATGAATACTCTAAGAAAGAAATAGTGCTAAGCTCACATCCAGCTCTTTGACATAAGACTTGACCTTCAAGAACTCAATCCCCTTACTTCTTTACTATGATGAATAAGAATGGTCTTTTGAGTTCTTCAGTTTTGTGAGTTTCTTGCCAGTCATCTATCCCATGGTAACCTATTCTGGTATGTGTTCTCTAAGTGAGGGTTTTTTATCCAGTTTTCTGTGATAGGATTCAAATAACAAAGAAAACAATTAGTTGTTATCTTCATCATCCCCCTTCATGATATTCAGAAATCTATTCCATTCTAACTTGTGTAGACACAGAATAATGTGCCAGATACTGTTAGAGTTAAAAAACAGTGATAGGGCCAGGCGTTGGTATCACACACATTTAATTCCAGCACTCGGGAGGCAGAGGCAGGTGGATCTCTATGAGTTTGAGGCCAGCCTGGTCTACAGAGCAAGTTCCAGGACAGGATCCAAAACAATATAGAGAAACCCTGTGTCGAAAAACAAAACAAAAGTGATAGGTTTGTTTTAGGAGACAATAGAAGATCCAAGATATTTTCTTTGTTGAAGAATGTGTCTAGGAAACCTTATGGGACTCTGGGGTTGAAGTATACTGCTTAATTAAAGTCAAAGAATTATACGCAAGGATAAGTTAGCTTTCAACAAAAATCAATTTCAGGCAATATTTTCTACACCTAATAGTGGTATATTTAATATACATTTGAAAGTGCAACTACCTAGGCATTTGTTGACCATTTTACACATCATTGCCATTTTTGAGAAATACAATAATGGAAAGGTGTAAGTGGAGTCTTCCTGTCTCACCTGCTTGCTCCTAAATAACTGATATAAAATCTTAACATTACTTATAAATGCTAGGTCAATAGTTCAGGCTTGTTACTACTTAGCTCTCACTATTAAACTAATCCATATTTATCTATGATTCACTATATGGCTCATTGCTCATTACATCATTTTTTGCATGGCCTGCTTCCTTGGCAGCTGTCTGACACTATGACTCCTCCACTCTTCATTTCAGCATCCTCAGTTTGATTGTCCCATCCAACTTTATCCTGGCTTACTATAGGTCAATCAGCTTCTTTATTAACCTGTGAGAGTAATACACATTCACAGTGCACAGAGGGTATATTCCACATCAGAAATGAGCCATATTTCAAATGTAGAGCCTAAAATCATAAGGAATAATATCTAATTAAAGGGAAAATGTCTAATAAGTTTTGAAGTCCTTTCTTGCTTTGTAAATTTGCAATATTTTGTGAGATCCTTATTAATCACTATCAGTTATTTTACTGAAAGAATACTAGCTCTGTTTTTAAAATATAAAAGAAAAGCTGTCATTGTCATAAAGAACTTATAAACTTGAAGTGTTTGTGTTCCTACTTTCAGCATGCTTCATGGTGCCTCTGGGTCTTGATTCTAGTATGCAGCCTACACTAGAATCTGCAGAATTCTGCTGCAGATTGAGCAAGAGGAGGTTGGCCAATGAGTGTTCTACCTCTATCACAAGCAATCTGAGGATAACAAGTGGAACCTACTGCGTATCTTGACTTAACTTACAACTTGATTATACTTGGGTTTGAGCTCAATCTGCCTTGTTGAAAAACAAATGCAAATTTTCAATTTTCCGAGAATTGATGAGCTTGTTAATTAAGCCACATGAAAACTCCCAGGTTTTCCTTTGTTACTTTAAAACCAACTTGAGAAACAGCTTTCTCAGTATCAGCTTTGATCCCTATCATAAAAGTGACAGGTGCTGAACGCTGAGCTAAGTAAAGTCAAAACTAATTTCATACTGTGCTGAGGAAGTTCCTATGGAGGTCATCTTGACGGCATGCCCTTAAAAATTGATTTTTAAATTTATTCTCTTTAAAGAATTAAGTATTCTTGCTGGTGACATTTATGCTGCTTGGATACTGGATAGGTTCACGTTTATGCCTAGGGTTGCTGAAAACACTGTGGTTAGTGTTTGGGCCCTGAGGCCCAATTATTAAGACCATGTTCTAGATTTACTACATATAAATCCTGTAACTGGGGCACTTTTCCTATCTTTCCTATGCCTGGATATTTTTTATAAACTGTGTATATTGATAATACTACATCTCAAATAACCGTGACAGAATTAAATCATGTGATTCACTTAAACAACCTCAGTCGTGCTAGAAACATGCAGAAATTAAAGAAAATATTGACTGCATTTCCTTGACTGACCAAACAACTTATCCATGGCTAAAACTGTCTGTATGCTTAGTTGCTGGACCTGGAAGTTTACAAATAACTAATATTATTTGAGATTGATAAAATTACAGTGGTAGTAATTAATATTTGGAATTCAAAAAACCTACCAATTTATGAAATAGTATTTTTAAAAGACATGGAGAATAAATAAATGTAAAGAAAATATATCTTCTGTCATGTTTCTTTCTCCTTTATATTAGTAGAAACCATCCTATGTACTTAAAGACAATTGTCCTATTAAGAATCCTCCCATTCTCTTCAAAAAACCAAATGTCTTTACTATTTACTTATCTTTGTATGCATGCTTGCATGTTTGTATGTGAAGAAACAATATGGCACGCATGTAAAGGTCAGAAGACATCTTGCAGTGGTCAGTTTTTTCCTACTCTCTGGTTCCCTGATTTGAACTCAGGTCACGTGGTTTGGTGGCAAACGTCTTTACCTGGAAAGCCACCTTTAAACTGTGTCACATAAGCTACATTTTTGTTAGTGTTTAGTAAATTCTGGCAAATTTTAAATGATGAATCTCAAAATTGTTTTATAATATGTGTATATTTCTTGTCTTCTGCTTCTATTTAATTTGTCAGTAAAGGAAGACATGTGTTGTTTCCTTGTGCTATAATTGTTTTCAATTCTATTTAGAAACCATAAAAAATTAGATATCTATCCTGTGAATTTTAAAAGCCTAATTCTACAAGATATCAAGGTTTTATGAGGCTGCTATTAACTTTGAGACTTTAAATCTTGATTTCTAAAGCATTACCACACTTAAAAAGCCATGTGAGCTGTTTGCTAAAGCTACAGTTCATATGGCTTTCACAAAACTGAACTAATTCTAGAGAATGCATTGTTAATACAATCCAGAGAAAATATGTGGATGAGGTCTGGAATGTTATTTAGAAAAATTCTAAGACTAAAATTAATGCATTTTAGGGAATCATCTATCCCTTCTTTTCACAGGATACTTTCAGAAATTCACTCTAGAGACAGGCTTCCTGTCTATTTTTAGAGTGATGACTCTGCCTTGTGTCTTTGCCCTGAACTGTAGCAGGAAGTGGCTTCAAGAGCATCTTTTTTGTTACTCTAACCTTGACTTTTAGCAGGTGGGTAACCCTCTGGAACTCCGCTTAGGTCCTATGAACCTCAGTTCCTTTTCTATAAATAACAGTATAAATGACTGTTAGAGGTTGTTGAGAGGATTAAGAGAAATAAGAGCTGTCGAAAAGATGTTGCCATAGTGCCTGGTATATCTTGAAAAAAATCAATATATGTTAGTTCTTTCCCCATTTATCTGCCACATTTCTGCCACTTATCTGTCTCCAGTCTCAGAGACTTCATGACCTCTGCTGTTGCAATATTTACTCGAATTTAAGACATTTCTTTGCTTTGCTCTCTTGCTCACTGTGACCTTGGTTGTTAGGTTCGGAATCTTCCCTTTGTTATGTCCAAATGAGCTAATAGGTTTGACAGCATTGTGTTGCCCTCATGGGGCTCTGAAGCCAAGATCTATGTTTAACAATATGATGATATTGCTATCAATTATAAAATCTTAAAATGAAACGATGACCTTAAAATATCAGAGTAATAATTATTATTTGTTTGGAATCAATCAATTTATTTGTGTTCTATATTCCACTTGGTGTTAAATTTTTCTGTGTAGTACCTTCTCCTCTGAGAAATTGTGTAAATGAAAATGCAATTTTCCTTCTCAGAGACAACAAAAGTGTGCCATATGTTCCAGCCAATCCAAAAATGACTGGCTATGAAGGAAAAATCCCAGGAATCCAGGAGTTACTCAGTCTATCATGCTATATGTCTAAGCTGGTCTTCAGTGTACCCTGAAATTCTGAAGAAGTAAGTTTCAATGTCAGTGAAGAAATGAACTTGTTAGTGAAGAGAGCAAGAACATGCAAACAGAGAGCTTCCTTTTTCCATGTTCCCACTTCATATAAAGCAGAAATCCCTCACAAGTGTGCCCCCCATTTTGGGTTTTAATGAATTCCAGAAGTAGTCAAGTTGACAGCCAACAGTAGCCATCACAATGTGGAATAACTGACATGGTTAGAGCTGAAACCTCCAGCAAAAGGTGTACTCAGTTGATCTCAAGATTTCAAAGATAAATATACATTGTGAAAAATCCCACAAAGGATCACATTGTTGAGTCATTTCTACACAGAAGCCATAAATTTAAATGTAATTAAATATAACTCATCAAAGAATGGAGAAGTCATGTATTATGTGGTCAATAAAACTGAATGAGATACTTTGAATCTGAGGTATTTGACATGCTGTTTAAAAAACACATTCCCATGTGCCTTCATACACTTGATAACTGCTTAAATAAATTATTTGTTTACTTCACACTGATGCATTTACTCATTCAGCTTGGAAAAATCAACATGCACACCATGTGTTGAAAACTATATCTATTATACAGAGAAATGTGTCAAGATAGAAACACTGTCACATACACCGCAAATCAGTATGTTATTTTCAGGATAAATGGGAAGAATCTACTAAAATCAGAAAAATATCAATGCTTTGATCCTTCACTGGTCATCCTGGGAAATTCTGTTAGGGAAAGAGAGTTGTGTACATTTGTGCATATCTATATTTAATCTATATCTGTATCTGTATCTCTCTCTCTTTCTCTCTCTCTCTCTCTCTCTCTCTCTCTATATATATATATATATATATATATATACAGACATATATTAACTCAGGCACTGTTGAAAATATCAAGAAATGTGAAGCAGTACAATTAGCTATCACTGGTGTATAACTCAACATGGGTTAATTTAAACTATGAGCATAACTTAACAGAACAAACCAAGAGTTGCCCCAACAATATGTATGTCAGGGACCAATTTTTGCCCAAATGGAAATTGAGCATAATAGCAATGTACTGAGAGATAAGTATCTCAATTTGTGAATTTCATTATTTCTAGTGAAAAACACAGTAACAGGAATTTCACTTTCTA